GAAATGTTTAACAAACGACACTCTTCTTTACGGGGTGTTATTGAAAGAACATTTGGAGTGTGAAAGAAGAAATGGGTTATCCTACGTGATATGTCATCGTATTCATTTCCCAAATAGGTGCATATTGTGGTGGCCACTATGACACTTCACAACTTCATCCGACGACATCCCTCTCATTCAGACACGGACTTCATTATTTCTGATGATGATCTAATTATTAACTCCCTAGAACCTTCAAGATCTCTAGCTACTAACGGTGAGGGTGCAGTCGAGATGGCTGCTCTGAGGGAGTCTATAGCAGATGCTATATATGGCAGCTAATCCAGCAAGTCTTTCTTTTCTTCGTATATATGTAGATCAATTTTTATGGTGGTCACTATGACACTTCACAACTTCATCTGACGACTTCCATCTCATTCAGATACGAAATTTGATATTGTTGATGATGATCTAATTATTGACTCCCTAGAACCTTCAGGATCTCTAACTGATAATGAGATCGAGTCTACTGAATATGAAACTTAGGACGGTGAGACGGTGTGGCAGCCGAGATGACTGCTCTGAGGGAGTCTATAGCAGATGCTATATATGGCAGCTAATCCAGCAAGTCTTTCTTTTCTTCGTATATATGTAGATCAATTTTTATGTGTATTTTATTTTTTTGGGATAAGTTCTGACATTCGTTTTTTTTTTGTGTTTTTTCGCAGTTATACAAGCATGTCTTCTAGGATTGATATTATGGACTACCATCTCCGTTGCTCACGTCACGTTAGTCCCATAGCCTTGGGAGGTAGTTTTACGGTTGTGTCAAGGGTGTTTCAGCTCGTTGCGGTTTCTTCCGGTGGGTTGAGAATTCCACGTATTACACTGCTAGCAGTCACGGGAATTCGATGTTTTCGCAGGTTGATTGTGCAGATGAGGACAGGTGTAGCCGTAGTTTGAAATGAAATATTTTAATATTTCTTATTGTAGTTGTATTTGTCTTTGTTCTTTTTTTATTTATTTTGGTACTCACGAGAGTGTGAGAACTGTATGTCATACTTTGGAACTGATCTGTGATGATTGTATGCTTCTGCACTATATGCTTATGTACTACCAATATACTACCAATCTACCAATAAGTTATTTTGAATAAATTGTCTCAAACAGTTTTATCAGACAGAGACAGGAATGTCATTTAACCACTAATAAGTTAATCTGAATAAGCTGACCCAAACAGCAAGCCAGATTTTTTGATAATCTGCAGATTATCAGAATAATCTGTTTATCAGCATATTATAAATAATCAATAGCTGCGCCAAACAGACCCTTCAAGATTGTAAAATTTCTCAAATGAAACTCTGAATGATCCACTTGATGTTGATAAAAAAAATTAAAAAAAAAAAGAAGTGAAGGTGATCTGTGATTACTTATATATATATAGTGATCTTAAAAAAAATAGGTGATCTGTGATTACTTAAAAAAAAAAAGGTGATCTGTGATTACTTAAAAAAAATATTCGAAGGTTTGTCACTTCTGAGAGAAGATAATCCAGAGATGCCACCCATAATATAATAGTGATTAACTAAATCGAGAGGAAGAAGTCAACCCCTTTCACAAAAAAATTTCAGATAATGAAGAATCAATGCTCCTAATGATTTGGCATCGAGTACCGTATGAGACAATAACTTTGGGGTGAAGATAGACTTATCAAATTTTGACAGACGTTTGGATTCGAATGAATTTATTGACTATAAAAAGTGAAATGAATTTTTGAGTACAAGGATATTCTCTAGGAGCAGAGTTAAATTGGCAGCCATCAAGCTTAGGAAGAGCGCATTATTGCAAGAGAATATGAAGCGTTTTACATGACTTGATGAAAAGGAAAACACGTTACAAATATCTTCCCACACATTACTTGTTGGGTGATTCATAAAACTCCATAAGGATATGACCGCATTTGACTAACTCGTGTCGAAATGTAAGTTGATGGAACCAAATGAGCGTACAATGAAGAGGTAACTTGGAGGGCTGATGCCATCAATCAGCAATATGATGCGGTTCCTTCCTTATTGATGCCTACTCGATGTACATACCCTAGCTTTGAAGTTCAAGAAGCAACATCATTAGGGGATCACCACCTTACATTCATGGATAAATCCTAGGATCAGACAAATAGAGTACGCCTATTAGAGCACCCAACTTGGTCTCTCGTGAGGAGAAATCAACCCAAGGTGAAGAAAAGGTGGGTGCCATTAGTATTATATTTTCTCTAGCTAGGAAATGCTTCAAGTGTCACGATCTTAAACACATTACATCTGATTGCCCAAACAAGAGAGTGATGTCTTTTACTGAGTAGGGAGTAGGGGGCGAAGTCGACAATGACATTAGGGACGAGAAAATGGGGATGTCGAAGAGGAGTAGATGCTAGTGTTACAATAAATCCATCAAACTGAGCCCATACATGAGCAATAGTGGCTCCGCCATAACATCTTTTCTATTTGTTGGACTGTGAAGAAAAATATGTGTTATCTCATCATAGACAGAGGTAATTGTGAAAATGTGGTCTCCACTCAATGATAGACAGGTTGAGCCTATTTACACAGAAGCAGATCCAACCTTTTCTCTATCTCAGTTGAAAGAAAGGAATGATATTACAATTTATAAGAGATGCTTCATGGAGTTCTTTATTGGATACAAGTTTAGGAGCAGGTGTTATGATGTGGTATCTATTGATCCTTGTTAAATTCTATTGGGTTCTCCGTGGTAGTATGATCATTGTACATGTCATGCAGACTATAAGAATACATATTAATTCACCATAGATGAGAAGCACATTTTACTCTTACTTCGGAAGGAATCTGATGATGAAATTCCTTTAGCTAGGGCTCATGAAAGGCTGGATGTTATGAGCGAAATAGCAGATTGTTTAAGAAATCTGGTTTTGCAAATGCTGATCAGAGAGGCGTACCATAACACGCTTCAAAATCACCCAACTAAGCGATGATTATGGAAGCTTGCTTTGGCATGGAAGAATACAAAAGAAAGAATCAATTAATTACTCCAAATTATTATATCTTTTGGATCAGAACAAAGTAACTGGGTACCGACCTTTGACAAGGTCATGTCATATTTTATGGATGACAAGAAATTAGTATTATATGAGGAGGCGTAGAAATACCTTGTGAAGAATCCATCCCAAAAATGGGTTGCTTGTTGGCTAAGACGACCCTGGCACTAAGGCATGAAATCGATGTATAATTTACATGTAACACCAACACATTGGTTTTTTCAGTTGTTCCCTCTCTGCCTCGGTTGAGGTTGCTATTATCTTTTCTTTAAGCATCAACCCTAGAGATCTTGCATTGCTCTATCGAATGGTTGAGAATTCTGTTTTTGGGGCATCTTATGGAGTCATGGATCACATGGCTTCCTGTGGTAAAGCCAACAAACTTTTTGCAATGGAACTAGTCTCAGTTCCCACTCACATATGCTTTTGAGGCATTAATCTAGAGTATGAGTGTTAGCAACTCATTATCCTGTTTGGTGGAGAACACATTTGTACCCATAAATGTTGGTGATGTTGAATTTGACCAGTATGAAGAGGAGGATACTGAGCTGTTTAGGAATGAAGCTTCCCTTGATTATTTGTGCAAACTTCCCACGCATAGATATGAGGTCGCATAGGGAAAGTCATTACCTGGACATATATTTTAAGAAAGGTGTTGATCACGATGATACAATTATTGTCATTGATTCTAGACGGAGCTAAACAATTAAAGCACATACCAAACATTCGTTCTCTGAAAATTTTCAAGTTGAGGCTTTCAAAGCACTTCTAAATGCAGTGACAACAGAAAAACTTTTTGCACTAGGAGGACTATAGTATCAGTGTCACTACAGCTACAGTGATTACTGACTTGGCCCTGATGGAATAGACAACCATGTCGAAGCGGTGCAAGAAATACAACTTTGTAGTTCACCTAAGTAGACAAATTTATTTTATGCAAAAATACTGGTGGTGGCTCAAATAGTACTGCACGGTGGAGTTAAAAAATTATTAAGCAAAATGCTAAATATTAAAAGCAAGGCAAACAATTCCAGGAGATATCATATTTTTAAGGAATGTTACTTAGCATGGATCAAATTAAAAAAAGAGATTTTCACAAGTTCTTTTGAAAAGCTCAGGCTTGCAGTTGATGGTCTATCAGAATTACCAAGTGAATTAATAATAATGACTATAATATTATATATTGGGAGACTAAATATCTTTGCTACATTTAACATCGCCTGCTTGTCATCATATTATGTAGATTCAAATGCTTCAGAGAAGAAAATGAAGCCTCTCATACCCGGGGAAAGTGACGTTGGAGCAGAGAGGAGGATCCCGTGATTCTGTGTATGCGGGATTGTAACCGAGGGGAGTCCGTTCTATGGCATCTTGTAGCGGGAGTTTCTCATCTGTTGGCTATCGCTAGGCCATCGAACCGCTTTTTAATATTATTAGAAATAAAATTATGGTTATTTTTTGCTTGGGAACTAAGTATAAATTGTTAATTTCTGGTTTTGGGATTTTTGGCTTTTGGTTTATGTAATAGAGGTTGTTTGCTCTAGTTTATTCTTGCCGGAGCGGTGTATTCTTAAATCTTTCTTAGGTGGTGTGCCTGTAGTTTGATTGGATCGAGATGGTGATCTCTACCGGGCATTCGACAACCTTTTACACCAGCTGGCGTTCTACCGAACTGTTGTTCCTGCATGCATTTTGCCGTCCAGCTGCAGTTCTTCACCGTTCCTCGACCACCATCATCTATCCTTAACCCTCCTAAATCATCTCCTAACCTTCCCACGTTGTCTAGTACCCCTAGTTCGGTGTCATCCTTATTCTTGTGATCTTTTATGGCTTTGAATTTTTAAATCACTTCTAAAAAGGTCCATTAGTGTTTTCATCTTTTGTTGTAATCTATTTTATTTTAAACTTAAAGCACAATTCAACTAGATGTTATTCTCATTTTCTGTTGCAGAAGATATTTCTTCCTGATCACATTTCGTTCCTACCTGTACTGTGCATCTCCAAATGAAACAAGATTTGCAACCTGGATGGAAGCCAGGCCTGAGCTCGGCCATCTCTGTGAAAATTTGAAGTTGGAGAGATGAGTTGTGCTACTACAGTGACGGACGAGGTGTGTTTACAATATTTCAATGAATGAGAAAGAGGGAGGGTTTCTTACTGCAGAGCAATAGGTTAGTGAATTTAAGATAATAACCTCCTGAACTTTTATACTGGTTATTGTTATGTATAGTCTTGTTTATGTGGTTAAATTTTTATTTCCCTTGTTTACTGAATAGTATTCCCTGTACTATTTGCTTGCCACTTCTCTGATTGTACAGACCAACTAACTGGATCAGACGTCCCAAATGTAATGACACTCTCATATAGTCATATCTAAACTATTTTTAGTCTACTGTGTTTATATATTTCCTATACGGAGTTAATGAATTGCTGAGGCTATGCATTGTTTTCTGCTTCTGTAGCTTTCCTGTTTCTGTATTTGGTTAATATGGCATCAGAGCTACCACTGCTCACAACTCTAACAGCTCTCTCAGCTGACTCTGTAAATTTTCTTTTGCTTTCTATGGTTCTCTACGCCTCTCGAAACATCTCCAAACACTGATGTGGCCACTAATTGGTAGCTCTCCTACCCCTCGAGTTTCTCATGCCCGCCATATAAGTTGTCATCGCCATTCACTCGACACTTGAAAATCACCTCATTTGGCGTTCTCAACTTCTCCAAGAATTCCAAGCAAAGGATATGGAAGATTTTCTTGGTGATTTGGTTGTTGCCCTTGTCAGCAAATTACAAAAGTAGATGGTGATGTCATTTCAATTTCTTAATATATCAAACTTCTACGGTTATATCACGTTTATTACCCTCTATTATGGATATTACACTCATGTTCTAACATTTGGAGCACTATTAAAAAATGAATGCAATTTACCAGTCGTTCTTGCATCTTCCAACTAAAAGATGAGCTAAACCACACTCTTTGAAAATCAATCTATTCAAGAATATGTTTTTGAAAGCAAAAAGATAGTAAACGCACTTATTACTACCGGTTCCTCTTTTGATCATGGAGATATCATTCTCTTTTATACTTGAAATGATATTCCATTCATTTATTAAGCTTTCAAAACGACAATCAGAATGAACCTTCAAGTTTTAAATGATTTTTATCCATTCATGCAGCGAGGGAACTGACTTGGCAAATGAATTTACCTATTAAGGAAGTACAATCCTCTCGACTTTCGCAACCATCACTGAGCTACATTAAAAATTCAACTCCTGACCTACATTACGTATCAATGATATCAAACAACTTCAACCCCAGGATTATCATGCCACTCAACAACTAATTTTTGGCTAGGCTCAATCTCTTCCATTTCATAATAACCATCAATATCCTTTTCCTAATTCTCATCATGAGTTTCACTTATCTCCTCTTTAAAATGTCTTTAGTATCTCTTGTAAACCGTATATTTTTACTTAAACTTACCTTCAATAATTCGTCCTCAATTTTCTTTAATGTGAATGCCTATTTTCTTAAAGATTGAAAGACAAATCGAATGATTCTCTTGAGACCTAGTTTTGATGGGCTTTATGTGGTTTGGTTGCAACAACAATCCTTTCACAACTTAATCATGCAATTTTTGAACTTCGCAAACATTTATTTTGATGATAAGATTTATGATAAAATCTTTCATAGCTCATTAACTTGTATAGCCATTCTTAGTTTCTATGAATCATCAATAATGAAGTTTATTGATGTTTGAGATCTCATCATTAGCAAGGATATCAAAAGACATAACAACAACAACAACAATTAAGCCTTAATCAAAAGACATAAGAAATGTAAATTTAATTTTTTATTTTAAATATTAATCAAAGCAAGCCTCCGAATGTTAGGAACAATAAATCTAAAACCAAGTCAAGATCTCACATTAAAAACTTTCAATCACGAGTAGATTGTGTTATGGCACGGCATACAATATAATGAGATATTATTAAAAAATTGGCATAAACAAAACTAAAAGTCAAAATATGAGGATAAATATCACTCTAGAAAACATTTAGGATGCACTATTTCATGTAGTGAATTTAATGGAGACATTAATATTACTCAATGCAATCCTCCATTTTTTTTTTAATAAAGATATAATGAAAATTTGTTGTTTAAAAATTATGGAATAATTTTTCTTATTGATGATGAAATCTTGAAAAGTGAAGGATTGTACCAAGTAGTCGACAACAAACGTAAAATTTGTTGAAAAATCATGGTATGAATCTTTTTTATCATTGTGTAAATGTTAGAACGTCTCCTGACAGCGACGCATTGTATTACCATAATACAGTGAAAAGTGTGCAAAAACAACTACATCGGTGCTCGGGTGTAGTGTCAAATAAATAAGGGTTCTCACATTACAGTTGAATGCGGGTAAAGAAGTTAGTTTATAAAATTAATATTATGACAGGATCTTGAAACATAGTTACTCTCACATGTAAAGTAATGAAATTAGTTGATATTATGATTCATAGAAAAATAAATATCTTATGTATTCAAGAAACTAAAAGGCTTAGAGAAAAGACTAAAGAGATTGATAACTTAGCTTTTAAATTTTGTTATTCAGGTAAGAGTCGCACTAGAAATAGTGTATGTGTAATTATATATAAGAGTTTGAAAGATAATATTGTAAAAATTAATAGAATTGGAGAGAATTATAGTCCTTAAAATTATTGGTGACATTAAGGTTTTTAATATTATAAGCATTTTTGCTCCACAAATAGATTTAGATATAGGTTTTCTAAAGAAAAATTTTAGAATGACCTAATAAACTTGATACAAATGATATCTCTTGAAAAAAGAATTTTTATTGTGTGAGATTTAAATGGCCATGTCGGTAGATTGGTAGAAGATTTTAGAAATATTCATGTTGGCTACGGTTTTGGAGTAATTATTGAAGAAGGTTGAGTCATATTAGGTTTTGCTTTAGTGTATAATTTTGTTATTGCTAATATTTTATTTAAGAAAAGAGATTAGCATATTATTACTTATAACAATGGAACAAATAAAACATAAATTGATTATTTTCTTATGGGAAGAAGAGATCGTCGAGAATGTAAAGATTGTAAGGTCACTCCAAGTGAGGATTTAAGTACTCAATTTCAATTATTAATTCTGGATTTTAAGATGAAGAGTTATAAAATAAAGAATATTATGAATCATTGTCATTGATTTAGATAGGGGCACCTAAAAGGCACAAATAAAATTATTTTTATGATTAAACTTTATGATTTCAGGATTTGGAATGTTCATGAGGAAACAAATTCTATGTAGGATAAATTAACAAACACTATTAAACAAGTGGCAAAAGATGTACTTGGAGATTCAGAAGGAAAAATTTGTATAAATAAAAATAGTTGGTGGTGAAATAATAATATGCAATAAAAGATAAAATATAAAAAGTTATGTTATAAAAATTATTTTAAATGAAAAAAACTTAGAGAACTGAAAAAAAAATATAAAATGACTCATTGGGAGTCTAAGAGAACAATTTGTGACACTAAAAATTTTGCTTTTAGTGATCCTTATAATAGATTAGATACTAAAGATGGTAAATATATATGTATAAAATAGCCAAATAAGGAGAAGAAAAATAAACAATTAACTCAAGTGTATTAAAGATGAAAATCAAAACGTGTTTTTCTTAGAAAAAGATATTCAACATATGTGGGTGAGTTATTTTGATAAACACTTTAATAAAGTTTCTAAAAATATGATCGAATTTAGTGACTTTAATATCGTTAATAATAATAATATGTTTCATTTTAAAAAAGCAGTTGAGGTTTTAAAGAAAACTAAGGGTGAAAACTCTGTAGGATCTAAGATGTCCCATTTGAAGTGTGAAAATATTTAAGAGATTTTAGAGCTTCTTGGCTTACTATATTCTTTTTTTAAAAACTAAAAAGATGCCTGAATAGTGGAGGAAGAGTATTTTGATTCCCATTTTTAAGAATAAAGGAAATGCATAAGAGTGTGCAAGTTATATAGGAATTAAGTTGATGTGTCATACTGTAAAATTATGGGAGAGCGTAATTGAACATAGGTTAAGACTATTATAAAGATTTCTCATAACAACTTTGGATTTATGTCGGGCAGGTCTACTATGGAAGTTATATATTTATTTATTTGTTTGATGGAGAAGTTCAGAGAGAATAAGGAGGATCTACATATGATTTTTATTGATTTAGAAAAAGATTACAATAATGTTCCAAGAAATATCCTTTGGAGAGTTCTAGAGAATAAAGATGGTGATATGACTTATATTCAAGTCATTAAAGATATGTAAACTAGAGTTGTTACTTGTTGGTTGGTTGAAGTGGAGGAATGCTTTGGGCCTATTGTGTGACAGAAAAGTATTGCTTAGACTGAAATGAAATTTTATAAGATGGTGGTGAGACCTGTAATGTTTATGGTGATGAATGTTGGCCTCTAGAAAAGAAGCAAAAAAACTAAGTTAAATATTGTAGAGATGAGAATGCTTAGGTAGATGAGTGGCTTTACACTTAGAGAAAATATGTGAAATGAATATATTCGTGATAGGATTGGTGTAGTTCCAGTGGTGGGCAAAATTAGAGAGAATCGTCTTAGATGATATGGTCACATTAAACGTCAACCATTTGATGATCTGGTTATGAGACTATATGTTTTAGATTCGACTTATGTTAAAAAAGGCAGAGGTAGACCTAGAAAGACTTGGGTATATTGTATAAAAACTAAACGAAGTCAAATATATCGTTTGAGTTAACGAGGTATTTAGTCTCCATTGAAGAATTGGTTATATAAGGATTTAATGTTACTGCTATTGATGATGTTTATAAAAATGATAAAATATGTCTGGGTATGTTTTAGAGTTAAAAAGACTGATATTTTTTACACAAAATTTATAATAAAATAAAAAATTGTTTCCACTGACATAGAAGCAGATTTAAGCATACGGCATCAAAGGCTATGCTATATTAAAGAGAAGTCTTAAAGATTTTTTTCTTTAAAAGTAAAATTTCAGTCTATGGAATCCGTATTTCATGATGATGATATTGTCGGAAAGCAAAGAAGGGTTAGTTTCTTAAAGTTCGAGAGAAGGCTTAGATTCAAAAAACTGGAGCTAATACATGAGGGCATTGCTCTTGCCTTTTTTAAGAGGGTTTTTGTATCATATAATCTTCATTGATGATTATATAAAATAATAAATAAATTTTATTAAAAGTGGATCTAAGATGTTTACCACTTATATGAAGTAGAAGAGCTTTGTGAAAATTGAAACAAGTGCTAAGGAAAATGCCTAAGATCTGATAATTAAGAGGATTATGATTCTATTATTACTTGAAAAACTCTCACTTATTATTGGATTTATATCATAGAGAACGATCTCAAAAATTATATAATAACATCGTGTGGCTGAAAAGATAAATATGGCTTTCAATGAGATTGCATACAAGTCTTCTAAAGTCCAGAGCAAATGCACTAAATACATCATCATATCTAATATACGAGGATTATTAATTGTACTAAACTCTGGTATTTAAAGGCTTTTCAATTTCCTATCTTCTATTTATTTTGATCTAATTTTCTGTTACAAGCAGCTTCATACAATGTATAACAAGTATTATGTTGTTGGATATGATGGAGATAAATTTACATAATAATTAAAACTACTTTTATTCAAAAACATTATATATATATATATATGCTTTCTACTTTTTCATATATATATATATATATAATTTCATTTTTTTTTACAAAACAATTTGCTTTGTTTAAAAAAATAAGAAAGCACCTTAAAACATAAATCATATAAATATATTAAAATAAAAACAAAAATATTTAAAAAAAAATGATCCCCAAATGCAAAGTTGATCCATAGATTCGGTTAACTTGATGATATCTTAAGACAATGGACAACAAAAGAAAAAATTGAGTGGAAACACCATTTAAAATTTTAAATTTAAAGTTTTAAATTGTGTATGAGATGGTGCCCCGGTGGTCCAAAAACTAGACAAAAAGGAATTTTTTTTTTAATTAATTCATCGAAGCAAGTGGCGGATTGCAGCAACGGCATCGCCTTTGTGCTCGCGAAGAGTTCTCTCAGCCACCTTCTTATCCAGCTGCGCAAACAGGATCAGAGGCCTCACTACATAACTAAATCATTCTGAAAAAACATCAATATTTTGGTTGGAAATAAACCTCTAACTCATTAGCAATTATGTCCACATCCGTTGGATTAATCTTCACAGCAGCAAGCTCCTTCTCCCTGATCACAGTGCACGTATCAGTACAAACAATGTATTCCTGATATTGTAAGGCATAGACATTGCACAAGGCATAGACATTGCAGTCCTTAAAATTATCAAACATGCACGAGAAAATACATTGCCTCGTTATGCTGTCCGAGTTTGAAAAGAAAAACAAAAGTAATTTATGAAGAAAGAAGACTGGTGTTCATGAGTTTAAATAGCACATGTTGATAGTTCTTACAACCTATGATGATAGGTACATATAATAATCTGTTCCTACAAAATATGGATGCCATTTAAAAAGGCGAGTGAATTGCTCATTATTGAACAATAAAACACTGAACTGAAGTTGTATAAAACAGATTGGATGTGAGAAGATATCTATGAATGCAAGGAAGTCGATAAGGAAGCAAAGTTTTGCAGACTTGATGGGACTTCGGGATTTGCTTCGGAGGGTTGCAATTTAAAAACCAATCAATGGAACTACGACTAATATAACTATATAGTGATTATTAGGAGCATATAAGGCAGACTACTAAATGAGAAGAATGGCACCTGGAAAGAAGCATAAGTAGGATGCATGTTGCAGGCTTGTTTTAGAAGGACAAGCTAAGGTAATATAAAGAAGTCTAAAAAAAAGGAAAACAGAAAAACCATATTTGGTAGGTAGTAGGCACTATAGTTTATTTGATGCGGGAGCTACCCGAGAGGCCCATTTCAGTGTCCCTACTACAGTACTGCACCCCTCTCCATTATATGCTGCAATTCAGCGACAATGAGCACTTCCGTTTTTGCGCATGGACCGAACCGATCCAGGCATTTTCGCTATTATTCAGTTAGTCGGCCCTCTTGTGTCACGGCCCGGCTTGAGACTTTGAATTAACCAAGGCGCAAACAGACGTTTGGACAGTGAGAACTAAGTTTTGTATATTCATTTATCATTTATCACGTGAAAGAGTCACTAATTAATTTAAATTAAAAGAATATAATTAATGTTCCTCGTTACTTGTTCATGTCTTCTATAAACATTATCTCTTCTATCGCTTGTCTTTTAATCACTTAATTAAATTGAAAAATTAGTTTAAAATAACAATGAGCTAAACAAATTAGTGAATACTCGTGCTCCCAAACTATAGTAATAGAAAAAAAAATCAAAATACATGCCAGTTAAATTTTTAATAAATAAATTTTACTATATCAACAGCATACCAATATTATTTTATATTTGTAAAACCGTCACAAGAGCACCTTCTAAAAATTGAATGACTCAAGGTACTTCAATATCAATATCATTTTTCATATATGTGCACGGGTATCTTAGTGTTCCCCCACAAATACCATAAAGATATGACTCTATCGTAGTCAATCATGCATTTAGAAGTAGTCAAGATAAGCATAGCATTCATGTGTTCATCGATTTCAATTCAATATACTATATATAAAATATTTCAATGCATGATATTAAGTAGTTATAAACATTCCTAACAATGTGACCAATAAAAAAATATATATATAAATCAAAATAAAGTTTGTACAAGTATCTACTAAAGTAAAATACTGGAGATGAACGAAAATATTACCATAAATTAAAAGTACGAGTACTCATGCTCTTAACTTGTATTATTTCTATCAAATTATCACCTATAAAATATAAAATATTCAATTATCATTTTACTTAATTGTGTTTTAATTTAATTATGAATTATTATTGTATCACACTATTCCAATTAGAATTTGAATACTTTAATCTTTAAATTTAATCAAAATTAATATTAAATATTATTAATTTATACAAAAATACTTTTAGAGTTAAAACCATAACATTTCTTTAGTGCTAAAACCAAATGCACTTAGTTTAATGATTAAATAATAAAAATACATATATAGCATATATATATAATATTAAATAATTTAATTAAATAAACATACTTTTATCTCTTATTTCGAAAAAAAAATCGCATGAGGGGTTCTAAAGCCGTCGCTCTTCTTCTTTTTCTCTTTCGAGCATGACAAGTCTTCCTCTGGCTATGTATTGGCTCGATCGCATGTTGGAGAGCTCCTCTTCTCAGCATGTGATACACGACTTGTCTTCCTTCTAGATCGCACAACAGCTTCTCTTCCATATGATCATGTTTGCGCGCAAGAGCTGTTCTAGACCGCAGGAGAGCTCTTTACAGAGTTGCTGCAATGTCTTCTCTTCTACTCCCTTGCTCACGGCTCGATATTGACGTGGACGCCTCCTCTACTACGCTTCCTTCTTTTGCTCTAGCCCCACTCACCACAACCACGCAATTCTAAGAGTCCTTCGCTTCCCTTGCCGCTGTCATTCGACAATCAGATAAGTCGTTCTCTCCTCTATCTCCCTCAAGCACGTCTCTTTATAGGGCAAAAGTATTCTTTGGTTTCCCAACTCCTCGCCTCATTTTGCCCCCCAGTTCAACTCTTTATTTCCTCTTTCGACTATTCGTTTCTTCTTCCCTGAGTAACTGAAAGAGGACTTTACATCTTAGACCACTCATCATTATCCTCCTATTATATATTTGTTTAGGATGTTCTAGGTTTAGTTTTTGGCGTGAGTTTGTTTAGGACAGTCGCCGACATCCGTTTTCTCCCTTCAGAGTTGTATTCGAGGGATTGGGTGGTGCTTCAACTGTATCTCTCTCCTGAGGTGATGATTTCCTTCCCCTATCCCCTTCCACGTCCTCCCACATCGCTCATAACCTCCCCTTCCCTGCTACAGCCGCCCAGAACAGCCTCATTTTGTTATTTTCTGCAGTTCCTGCTTTCCAGCTGCCTTCCCCACCCATTGGTTGTTTTTGCAGCCGCCCATATCCATTTCCCTTACCACCATACTGTTATTAGGGCCACGAGAAACGCCCCTCTACAGCCTTGGCTTCTGTTCCAGCTATTCTGAACCACTTCCAAGCCACTGTCACAGCCCTTCCCACTTGCTGCCATCGTTGTTCCAGTCCTCCATACCCACTGCCATCGTTGTTCCAGCCCCTCATCTTTACAACCGCTGTGTTTCCAGCCCTTCATCTTCACTGCTGCTGTGTTTCCAGCCCTCCCCCTTTTTTGCCATCATCCCGGAAAGCCATGCAATGTCAATATTTGCAGCGTACTTGCTCTCCGGAACCCAGAAAACTGTTGCCTTGTTGTTTTCTGCTTGCCAACCACCTCGTCCACCATCCCGTCACCTTCCACCTCTCACAAATCACCACCAACACCCCGAGATCCATCCTAATTTGAGTTAGATTGTTGAGTTTGTTGTTTTTTTTACTTTGAAGTGTGTCGGCTGTAATTGCTGACTTTATCAGTAATAATTATTTTTTCTATTATTGTTTAGGTTAACTACGGTATTATTATTTTTTTTTTTAGGTGCCATAAATAGTTAGCTATAGTTTTTACAGTCTATAGATTTTAGCTTATCTTCAGCATATGGTTATTATTCACAGTTCACAAAATGACTTTGCAGAAATTGCATGATAGGAATAAGGCAAAGAAACTATTAAATTAGAATAAAAAAGCTTAAGTTGTAGAGTAACATGAAAACAAAGTAAGCAAACCTCATTCTCATTGCATTCCAATCAGCTTCTTTAGAGGATGTAAGAGCTGCCATAGCCTGTACAGACAGCAGGACTCCAACATAATGTAGAAAATGAGTGTAGGAAAGCATGAACAGCAGCACATTATACCAAAACAAATCAATATTGTACAAATACAATAAAGAACAAAACTTGTTCTACTTCCAAGCTATACAGTACCAACCCAAAGAATAAAGTGATATTATTATTAAAATTCAACAAAAATTTCATTTAGAATTCCAGCTGCAGGAAAGAGAATTACATGTTACCATAGCTAAGTTTTTGGAACCAAGAAAAGCGAGCAAAAATGAAAACTTCCTCAGTTAAAGAAGAGAATATGAATATAAGTTTTTATCAAGTTACATGCAAAGAAGAATAATAAACCAGATATTTGTTGGACAAAGGCAAAAGAGAAGCAGGGACTTCTAAGTTCTAAGCTCTGAATCTCATAATAGGTGGCAATAGGGCTATAATCGAGTTGAGCCGAGCTGGGCCAAGCATATCATTGTTCAGACTTGGCTTGGTATAAGTACAAGTTATTCGGCTTGAACTTGTGTCGAGCTTTCATACATTGTTCAAGCTTGATTTGTTTAACTTTTTTAATGGTTGAACTTGATTTGTTTATGACAAGCGAACGTATATTTAAACTAGCTAATAAACGAGCTAATAATTCAAATGAAAATCTAGATTTTCAAATAAATAATTTTGCAATTCTAATCGCAACATCTAATTTATCGATTAGGAACTCTAAAATCTGTGAAATTTACTAATTAGCTACATAATTCTTATTGATAGGACTACAATAATTCAAATTTTGTAAGTGCATGAACTAAATTGATCATAAAATTTATAGAGATGATCATTTACTTAATCATATTTAATAAAAAAATAATAGCCATAATGTTGTTGGTAACTGCAGTGTGATGTCATAAAAATTAAACTCATTACTTTTAAGGTTATGAAAACTCCACAAGAAAAATCTTTTATGTCACTCTCTTTAATTGTAAATATCCCATTCTAAATTACCTTTCATTTATTAGAAAATAAATATATAATTAATAATTAAACTAAAAATATTATTGATATAATAATATATACTATTAAATCTATAATTAAATAAATTCTAATAATTGAATTTTATATAAATAATATATCACATATATAATACGAGTTATTATCGAGTTTATATCGTGTATTTAACAAGTTGCTTGTTGAACAACAAATGAGTTTGTTCGTGAACATAAACGAACAAGTTCGACCATGTTTATGTTCAGTTCGTTTAAGCTTAGAGCTTTTAAAAATTGTTTAAGCTTGTTTATTTGCTAATTTGAATTAACATGGCCGAGCCTTAATTGAGTCAAGTTCATTGAGTGCCTTTGTTCATTTAAAGTCCTAGGTGGCATATCACTCCCAACTCAAGAAGAATAGATTATGTCGGTAGTTTAAAATAATGTGTTATGACCATATTCCTTGCTTTGTAATGACATGTATGCTTATGGTGGTTGCGATGGGCAATCTATATATTACTAGATGACATCAGAGGCGGAAAAATGGGCAAATGGCAACGGCAAGAAAAGGCTCCATTTAGCAGCTACAAGGTTTTACAAACTTTTTAGCTTCCATAATTAAAATAAAATATATAGCCATGAAAGTTAAGAAAGAGAATTGAATTGTGTCAAACTTAGGATTAAAGCAGTTAGAGAAAACCTTCACCAAATACATTCATTAGTTTATTTTATGAAAAGGCTGAAAAATTGCCTGCAGTTAGCAAGCATAATTCATCATTTAGAAATCCCTGAACTAAAGGGAGCAGAGAAAAGCGGGCTGATTTCATGCACCTGTTAATGGAGTCTTGCATTTACTGCAACACAATTAGATGACTTGCAATGGCAGAATATACCAATGTGTATCAATTTTAATATGCCTTTTTAACCATTATGTTTAGATATGAAGGACCATCACATTATGTTGCTCCATGTTTTCCATAAATTTTGTAATGGATGCCATGTATATGCCAGAGGACCAGAGTGATAAAAAGATGGTTAGTCATACATTATTTTCTTTTGGAATTCCGTTAATACTAGAAGAAGAGAATCTGTGATGCTATATCTTTGGCTTGGTATGAGATGGCCAAAACTCTCATGAATCATTAGCAGCCCCTTTTCTCCGTTGTGTCCCATTTATTTTCCGATGGAATGTTTACTTATATGTCATGTGTAATTTTCTTATTTTCTCAAGTTTTACTAAGTATTAATATGAAATGAACATTTGCATCCTCTTTATCATAAGCCCTATATACTTCCTAACTTGATCTAATTACATCTAATATGCACTGGATAAATTATGAAACTTTGATTAGTGGGAGAACACTTTGATAAAACATAAAGAACCATATGTCAAGGAAGTTTGACGGCATGCAAACTAACATGGTGTGAACATGTGTCAGAAATGAGATTGGTTGATCCTGAGCTGGGAAATTACAAAATTCGACAATCCTGCCAAACACAAAACAATGTATAAATTAGGTCCTAATTTACCCAGATTTCAAGGTACTAGTTTCCATGGATCCAATACCCCTGCAAATTTTAATAGGTGTGATAATTACTGCTGTGCAATTATAACAAAAAAGGATACTACAAGGATACAATAGACTTTTATAACAATGTGGTGGCCATCGACATGAATGCAACATAGTGGCAAAAAAACATCCAAAGAATCCTAAGTTATTAATAGAACAACTGTTTGTTTGTTTTTCATTGACTGAGTATAATTGTTATTTTTGCATCACAACCTTAAGCATCTGTTGTATATTTTCCTAATATCCAAAGTTATTAATAGAACAGCTGCATCCATCTTATCTTCTATAAAACTCTATTAAGCTCTACACATAATCAACCACATGAAAAACTAGCGCAAATGTCATTATCCCTTATCATATATCCATAAGCCATATTGGTCCAAATAATAATTATAGCTCCCCTCGCTCCAAAGTACTAACAGAACATCGTTAGAGGATTTAATAACAGTGCAAGGAATTAAAAGATGCGAGAAATGGAGAGGCAAATATTCATTTTGCTGATAAAAGACAAATGAAAACAGGAAATTTCGCTAACTTGTCTAAAAAAAATTTAAAATGAAGCCAGAAACCAATGGCTTGATAATAAATACAAAAATAAAAGGGCCAGGATATCGCATAAAACTAATACAGAGAAAAAAATAAAATAAAAAGGTTTTTGCAAGTGCAGGTAAACTGATATAGGTTTCCCGAAACCGCAACCATTTTCTGCAATGAAAACCATGTTACACGAATTTTGAAGAAAAAAAGAGTGGGTTTTCTTTATCCCTGCTAGCTTTAGATCGAGCAGCAAGGAGGACGGTGAGTGGTGATTTAAAAAAAAAATAAAAATCTAACCTCTTGGACTCGAGTGGAATCGAGCTGTCGATCCTCAACGCGATCGGTGAGCTTGTCGAGGGCTTTACTCTGCTGCTGGAGATCCTTCGAGTCCGGAACCTTCACCACCCCCTCATCTCCGCCCTCCATCTCTGTTTCCTGTTACCCACCCTCCTCACTTGCCTCAATCGAGTCGGCTCCAATTGCTCTCGGAAACTTACAACTGAAGTTTTGGAATTTTTATTCGGTCATGAATGTATTCGGCTGTACCCAATTAAAAATGGCCACGTGGAATTCCGATCCATTTAGGTTAAAATTTTGTTATATTATATCCGTTAAACCCTAAACCCAATCAAAAAAAGCTCAATTTTGTCATTTTTGATTCACGCCAACTGCCAAAAAGTGATATTTTGTCTCCTTTTAGATTCAGGGATTCAGGATATTCTCATTTAGTTTCCTCGTATTCGTTGAACTTGGTTCGATGGAAGTAATTATTGACGATGAAATGTTGTTGGAATCTCAAAATACTTACGAGAAACATGATAATGAGATGAAATCTCAGAATATTTTCGAGAATTATGAGAATGAGCAGAGTTTAGATACGTCAGAAGGAAATCGGCAGATACGTTATACTTGTTTGACTGCAGATTTAGCTTTTAAGGAATATTTATATTGTTAATGAAGTTTGCTCTGTTTTTATATGACGTTTAACGCTAAGTTTCGGTAAGGATGAGATGTGGTGTTATTTAGGTAATATCACAGTGATATACTGATTGTTTTTGGAGTTGTTTTCCATTTCTGATTGTTCTTTATAGTTTTAGTGGGTTAAATGACTGTCATAATGAAGTGTTGTTCTCGTCTTCATGATGGGGTTAATGGGTAGCTATTCTCGTCGTCGTAATGGTGTCAAAGTGTTACAGTATCATTTGCTTATAATGTTACTGTCGTGGGGATTTGGTGTTATTTTGGTAGTATCACAGTGTTATTAAGATAATATTGGATCTGCTGACTTGGTTTTGTTTTTAGGGTATTATGTTGACGTTTAATGATGTTATGCTTGTGTGATGTTTGTGTTATTGTGGTGTTATGCGTGTGTTTTTTTACTTGTAAGGTTGCACGTATGGTGGGGTAGTAATGTGGTGTTATTTTCGTATTATCATGGTGTTATCCTAGTGTTATTTGATCTAATTAGCCATTTTATCGGAGTCTTATATTGGCGTTCTAATTATTTTATCACGGTTTTACTGTGGTTTTATCATGATTTTATTGTGGTTTTATCACGCTGTTATTAAGGGTTTATTATAGGTTTGTAACGATGACGCTAGTAACATTTCTTAACGGCATTTGATTGGCCTATTCTATTGGCTTTACCATGGTGTTATTTGGGTTATATTATGGTATTATTATAGTGTTATTTATTATTGTAACCTTGTATTAATTTCTTATTGGGGTGCTAATAATGATGTTTAAATTTGCAGTCACCCGAGACAGAGAAATTACTTCATGTCGTTGTCCACAACGAGAAGTAAGCCTATGAACACTACTGTTTATATGCACACCATATTGGATTTACTGTTTGAAAGGAACACAGTGGTTTCTGGTCGAATTCAAAGAAGTTTAAGACAAAGGATTTTGTTTGTAGTCAGGTTTGTTTCAAGAAAGAGTTGAAGGACACTATCACGGTGAGGTTCAAAAGAGCAGACACAAGGACTGGTTGTCCAGTCATGATCCGATATTTTGTTGATTTAGAGGTCAACTGGTCGGTAAAGAAATTCATAGAAAGTCACAACCATCTGTTGGCGGAGGACAGTGACAAGCATAGTGACAAGCATCTACTGCGTTTCTACTGCGTTCCAGCAGAAAGATGTGTGACATCAGTGTTGATATCCTCAGATCGATGACAAAATCAGGGATTAGAACCAGTGACGCATTCAGATTTCTCGCTACTAAGGTCGGAGGAGTGGAGAATCTTGATTGTACAAAGAAGGATGTTTATAATTTCATACAAAGAGAGATAAGAGTTCAAATTGAATTAGGGGATGCTAATTCTGTCATACAATTGTTCACTACGCGGCAAGCAGAGGATCTAATGTTTGCGTGGGACTTCCAAATTGATGAGTCAAAATGTTTGATGAATTTTTTATGGTGCAATGAGATGTCCAGGATTGATTACAACTATTTTGGGGATGTAATAATATTTGATACAAGTTATAGATAAAATAAATACAATTTATGTTGTGCTCTGATTGTCGGTGTGAATCACCACTGACAGAATGTTCTATTTGGTGTTGGTTTTTTATCAGATGAAACGATTGAATTATTCAAGTGGCTATTCAAAGTCTTTATCCGTATAATGTATAACAAGCATCCAATAACAATATTCATTGATCATGATCAAGCAATGTCTAAAATCATTGAAGAGTGTCTTCCGCACACCGGACATAGATTATGTCAATGACACATTTACAAGAAGTTACCTTGAAAAGTCTATTGTGGTGTGGGTAGCAAAGAGTCAATGATCTTTTTTATAATTGCTTGAGCAGATGTGACTCTGAAGAGGAGTTTGAAGAAACTTGGGGTGAAATGATCGAGAAAGGAAACCTACACGAGAATGTTTGGTTGAATGAATTGTATAATATCAGGCATAACAGGCATAAGTGGTCAACCATAAGTGGTCAACCGTCTTCAATAAATAAATTTTTAGAATAGGGATCCTATCAACGCAAAAAAGTGAGTCCACGAATAAGATTTGCCATGATGTCTCCAAGGCAACAAGCATCCTGACCGAATGTTTTTTTGGGTCTTGAAAATGTCATGAAGGATTGGAGAAGAAATGAGAAGGATGAAGATTTTAAATGTCAGCAGTCTGCAATTTCTCTCACCGTAAAAGGTAGTCCCGTGTTGAGACGAGTTGTTCAAAAAAGTTATATTCAATGTTTGAAGCACAGTTTCTACATGGTTTGTGTGGGCTTGTTGTGGAGTGCTCATGGAGTGCCCCGCTACTATGGATTTAGAATTTCATATCCGAACTCTCAATAATAAGAACAGAGACAGACCCTTTATTGCTAAATTGGACAGAAGTAATTCTAATATTACCTGTAGTTGTAAAAAAATTGAAATGATGGGCTTATTGTGTGCTCACGCTCTAAGGGTTCTTCAGCACAAAAATGTTACAAAAATCCCTGATAAATATATATTTCTTTGGTGGTGTATTAATGCTAAAAGGGACATATAATAGTTATGGTCATTGTAAGGTGTCAGAAATATTACCGAATTCTGCAAGTGGACTCATCTATCTCAATCACACTCATAAATTTGCATACCATATCGGCACTAGAACACAAGGCCATGAACTTGCCGAGAAGCTAGTGTTAGAGGCATTTAATAAACATACAATCGATGTCAAAGCCATAATGAGTGGATGAGATTCTCTGGAAAAGTCAAAATCAAAGCAGAAGAAGACACCGAGTAAAGAGCGAAATGTCAATGATCCCATGATGATGCAGCCAAAAGGAATATCCAATGCAAGGTTAAAAGGCTACTGGGAAAAAAACAAGAGATTCAAAAGTAAATGTTACCTATAATATTAAGTTCTGTTTTTGTTTAATGAAAGATTACTCGCTAACATGTAATATTGTTTACAGGAAAGGATAAAGATATTGTTTCAAGTCATGATATCATTTTGGAATGCGATACAAATTTATTTTCAATGGCGGGTCACTTTAGTCAGGTTGTGAAATCGATCATTCTGAAATTTTTTATTTTTGATCTATACTTCTTTTCTGACATTTACTCATTAATACTATTAATGCACATGAATTTTCTAAAACACAACAAACAGGGACATATACGAGCTTATTAATGGACATACATGATAATATATAGCTATTTATTCGACTATTTATTCAGGAGTTTTTATCGTCGTATTATTTTTGTTTAAGGTGAAACAGAAACTTGTATTATTATTGTTTTATTCAGGAGTTATTATGGGTTTATTTTTATTTAGTTTTATTGTAATATTTTCATTTTATTAAGGGTTTATTATTGTCGTATTATTATTGTTTAAGGGTTTATTATTGTCGCGGTTGCCATAAGACATGTTTATTTCTGCCGCTCCACCCGGTTTCATTGGAATCTCTGGCGACATATTCCAATAAAACCAGTGCTCGTGGAATAATTTAGAAGAATAAAATCTGAACACGACAGTAAGAATATCAAAGTACAACCAGCGCGGTTGCCATAAGGCGGATTTATTTTTATCGCTCTGCCCAGTTTCATTGGCATCTCTGGCGGCATATTCCAATAAAACCAACGCTCGTTGAACACTTTACAAGAATAAAACCTGAACACAACCGTAAAAATACCCAAGTACAACCAGCGCGGTTGCCATAAGACAGGTTTATTTTTATCGCTTCGTCTGGTTTCATTGGAATCTTTGGCGGCATATTCCAATAAAACCAGCGCTCGTGGTACACTTTTCAAGAATAAAACCTGAACACGATTGTAAAAATACAAAAGTACAACCAGCGCGGTTGTCATAAGACAGGTTTATTTCTACCACTCTGTCTGGTTTCATTGGAATCTCTAACGGCATATTCCAATAAAACTAGCGCTCGTGGAACAGTTTACAAGAATAAAACCTGAACACAACCGTAAAAATACCAAAGTACAACCAGCATAGTCTTCATAAGACGGATTTATTTCTGTCGCTTCGCCTGGTTTCATTGGAGTCTTTGGCGACATATTCCAACAAAACCAACGCTCGTGGAACACTTTACAAGAATAAAACCTGAACACGACCGTAAAAATACCAAAGTACAACCAGCGCGGTTGCCATAAGACAAGTTTATTTCTACCGCTCTGCCTGGTTTCATTGGAATATCTGGCAGCATATTCCAATAAAACCAGCGCTCGTGGTACACCTTACAAGAATAAAACATGAACACAAACGTTAAAATACAAAAGTACAATCAGCGCGGTTGTCATAAGATAAGTTTATTTCTACTGGTCTGTCTGGTTTCATTGGAATCTTTGGCGTCATATTCCAATAAACCAGCGCTCGTGGAACACTTACAAGAATAAAAACTGAACACGACCGTAAAAATACCAAAGTACAACCAGCGTGGTTACCATAAGACGGATTTATTTCTACCACTCTGCCTGGTTTCATTGGAATCTCTGGCGGCATATTCCAATAAAACCAGCGCTCGTGGAACACTTTACAAGAATAAAACCTGAACACGACCGTAAAAATACTAA